TGACAAAACTATAGTTCCAAAATACTGGACTGTCCTGTCGATGACATTGACAGTGGGGCGCCACCGTCAATACCGGATCGCTGGTTCAGATTTTTGCCATGTTGGAAACCATATAGTTGAACGATGGTAGCGCCCCCCTGTCATTGAGTTTGGTGGGACAGTTCAGCGTGGGTCATCTATAAAATGATTGAATGAAATAATGAATGAAAATAATTCGTTTTGTCATCTGTCAATGCAGCAATGTCACTTGCGAATCACAGATGAGACCACAGATTAGAGAGTATNGAATGATTCCCACAAGGAAATATTTAATTTGTTTTTTCAGATGGTTCATAATTATTACAAAAGTAAAACGAACCAAGGCTCATGGACAGAAGATCAAATGAGAAGAGCGATGGAGGAAGCGAGTCTTACTACGATTAGTTCGGCATCAAAAAATATGGTATCCTAATTGGAACTCTTCATTGTCATTTGAAATCTGGTGATGCATCGAAGAAGATTGATAGGTTTCGTCCAGTATTTTTCAAAAAAACTGGAGCAAAAAATATATGATCTTGCAGTAGTAAGGGACAACGTTTTATATGGCCTAAAACAGTTCCTAATTACCAAATAAGTTGTTTATGTTATTTCATTTAATTGACCTCATTAGCAATATGCTCAAATATAGTAGATAAACGCTTTTTAAGTGCCTTTTTCACTTTGCCCAAAGTGCAATTCCACTTTACCCTTGTGATAAGGGCAAAGCGGAAAATTATAGACTATAAAAAAAAGTTATTTTGTGCCAAAATAGTGAATAATTCGTAAATTTTTTTTAGAGTTATCTATAATACCATACTTGTAGTATCATTTCGATTAAAACTAGTCTTCGTAACTTATCTGGTTCTTTTTATTTTTTCGATTGAAGTTAAGTACTCCACTATGCCCCCCCTTCCCCTAGTTACTAGCCACTATTTAAATTTAAAGTAAAAAACTACACATTTAAAAGTGGCCATCTTAAATGGACTAAAAACTGTTTTAATCAGCTGTGAATTAAAAGTGTCGTCGTTTGCCGGCGCCCGGTACAAAATGAACAACCTCACTCTAGCTTTATCTCACAAGCGGATAATGGTCTTGATTCCCCATTGTTTGAAGAGCACCGACGTGACGGCGAGAGCTAAGAAACTGAACGCGATTATTTTATTGTAGAGGTGTCAATTTGTATACGAAACGTGGTGCAGTTTTTCATCTCAGAACTTTTATAAAACCAATAAAACTTTTGCAGCTGCAGACAAATCAAATAAGTTTTTCAGAAAGTTTCTTATTTTGTATGAACTCATAGAAATCTTTCACGTTTTAGTTTAGCAACAAGATATTTAGTTTAGAAATATTAACTCCTTAAAAGATTAGAATTATACAATGACAAATTTTTTTTCGGGTACATTAGCACACTTGTCAACGCCTTTTCATATCGCGTCGCATGAAACTTTAGTATAGAAAATAAAAAACGAATCATGAAAACATTTTAATTGGAGCTTAATTGGCTTCTTTACACCAATCGCCCACGGAAAAAAGTAGGCGTCTTGAAATCCAAATCAATTTAGACTTTGATAAAAACTGAAATTAAATTGAAACGAGTTGATTTCAAAACGTGTAGTTTGAAGGAAAATGCTAAACAACTAAATTGCTAGCACGTCCGAATAACAAGATCAGCCAGCTTTAGGGTAGATAGTAAAGGAGCGATACATTATTTGTTAGAGGCAAGTACGTCAAGGTATTATAACGAGGTGTCTGGGCCGCCACAATCAATCTGGCGGGGAGCGGGCGTCTGTCAATTTGCGGCGACGTGCGGCGAGCGCGGCCCGCGCCGCGAGCTGATGACTTCCGAGTGACCGCCTCGGATTTGCATAAGGGCTCTGGCTTTAATATGAGATTATTTTCGAGTTAGGACCGCCCGGCGAAGCGGTCCCATTCATTATTAGTTTCGGAATATTTAGTAGACCCAATCCCAGTCGTTATTAGAATTGCCACTCGAGTTTCGATTGCTGTCCAATTACGATTAAAACAATCAAAACGGTTTATGGAGTCTCACACGGAAGTTTGTTTTACATTTGTGTTTCGTAACGATGTTGATGGCAATTGGCAATAATAATATGTAAACAACAATATTGCTTCCTATATTTACAAGTTTTATTACAAGGCTTTGAATTTTCTGTAAGTAGTTATCATTATTTATGGGATAATTGAAATTCAAGATACCTTGATAATTCATTTTGTTTTCAGGCCTAAAATGATGTACGAAGTACAGTGCATTCAACTCGCCCGCTTACGGGCGCGCGGTCAGCATTTACCAATCTGACCCAATTTTAACCTTTTCATTATTTTAATATCTTTAAGTTAGTTCGCGTTCGGTTACCATCGCCGCGTGTACTCAGCATACCATTTAACCATTTTTAACCATTTTACGAATATACCAAGTTTAACCAATTTTGACGTTTTATATTATTTCATACTTATTAATTTGTTGGACTTACACCCGACAAATATGGTCCTTCGAACCGGATATGAACCAGCGACCTATGGATTGTTATTTTTAGACCCCAATACCCAATTCAGGATATTCACATAAGCTACCACAAGACAGTATACTCGTACCTATGTTCAATTAAAATTAATCAATCTCCATGTTACATTGAATTTAATCCCCACGTTAGGCGCCACACAATAACACATCCGGCGCACTAGCACTGGAAAATCTGGAGCGTGCTAGCCGTTCCATAGACGTGGGTACGTGCGCTAGATTGGTTCCACAACAATGTTACGTACTGTCGTGACGCCGGAGCCACGTCTTGCCATCGGTGACAAAGGGATTACTCCCCCGCACGCCCGCTGTCTGCGGTTTCTTAATTAACCCCTAAATACCCCTGCATGCCGCGCTCATGCGGTGTGTAAGATTATTGCCAACGTTACCCTTGTTAATTTTAATGTAGGGTATTATTGAAACAAATAGAACTTCTGTTCGAGACGAGCTCCTTATTAACCTAATGTTCATTTGCACGTACTTGTGTGTCATTATTAGGATTACCAATTTAAGCTTACTTGTCTTGTTTTGCCACAACCCAAAGGTAAATACAATTTTAATGATGTGTAAATGGGTTAAGAAGTAATTAATAATTATATCTGTAAGGCTCTGCTGTTAATAATGTAATGTTTGATATTTTTACGTTTGTTCTAAGTCCGTACAAACCACTAACTGGAAACTAATCTAAGCTCTACAACAATAACATTTCTGTATATAAATAGAGCCACAAAAACTACCTCGAATGTTAAAATTATAATATCAATGAATTGAAGGCTAAATTTTCACCAATCAATGAATTGAACGCTAAATTTTCANGCAATCAATAAAACTACGTTGAGACTAGTCGAACGCATAGACAGCTAATAGGGTGAGCTGTGGATAGTAATGCACGATTTACATCAGTTGAGTCAGGGCAGCCGGGTAGAAAATGGAGCGGTGCTTAGAGCTAATACGATCACGTGAGCAAACACGTAACGCGAGGCTTTCATCTTCACTCGAGTATCGTCACACACGGACAGTGTGAATCCGAAAGATGTAGCTGCGTGTGTTGCCACATGAAAATTGCGCATTCGTATTTAATTTTGCAGAAATCCACGAACTTTAACCCGAAAATAAGCAACCCTTTTCCATTACGACGTGCTCATGTGATTTTTGTTTTTATACACGAGACTAATTTGATTTTGTAGTCATACATATTCTATTAATGTGTAAATTGAAATATGAGATAGGTAGTCGTCTGCGACTGCATACCTGCGGTGTCGCATTGAAAAATTTACAATATAGGATAATATGTAATAAGGTGGTTTAAACACAGGATAAAGTAGCTGGCTAAAAGTAATAATTTAATAATCCAAATATACATATAACAATCTTACTAATATTATAAATGCGAAAGTATGTGTGCCCTAGGGCGGCTATAATATAGGGGGCGCTGTTTAATTTTTCATACAAAATTTTTCGATGACACTTTGAATACGCAACGAAACGAACTCGAAAGTTTTTCCTACTAGAGGTACTGAACGGATTTTGTCGAAACTTCACAGTATTATTGTTTATAACCCAGAATAACATATAGGCTATAATTTATGACGATATGTGACAATCTAAATTTCACGCGGGTGAAGCCGCAGGAAAAAGCTAGTTTCCAATAAACAGACTTATACTACAGCTTTTACTTTTCTAACAATGTGTAAACAGACAAAGATATTGTTTTTTGGACACAAAACTAGTCTCGGCGAACAGGATCTATAAATCTATTGGTGTCGGTCTAAGGGAGACGGTGATACGTAAACAAGTGTGAACTGGACGGAATATCGTCAGACGTCGCGAGAGAGTTTATTCTCAAAACATTCAGTCGCTGCGTTCGCGCGGTCGCTCTCCCCGCTTGCGTCCGCATTTGCTCTTCCGACCTACAGCGACTCACAAACGACAAATGTTTACATACGCCACCCCCGGATAACATCATATTTACAATACTGTTCAAACTGCACAATATCCTCTCACATCTATTCCAACATATTTTGAACAGCAAGTAAAACAATAGCTACCAATATGAGTCGATACGTAAATAAATTTTTAAAAGGAAAACAATGAGTGGTAATTTGGCAAGTCGAAGACAAACGCATTTAAAATGGGCAGAGCAGAGCGGCAGCCATCTATCTTGGAGCTTGATAAACGACGACATTATTCCTTATCGCCCACTCAATTTGTTTAAAAGCGTTCTGCTTTGATAATTTGAAAATTACAAATCGTATTCTGACACAAAAATGACCTCATAACTGTAAAGTCTTGTCGTCTTGATAAGGTTTAGGGGAGAGATCTTCCCAATTTATCGAAATTTATGTCTTTGGAATATGTTGCCGTCCGTGAACGTCGGGAGAAAGAATTTGTGCTTGTATGCTAAGTAAAAGTATGAAGTTTAAAAGAGGTTATTTTGTTGCAGTTGTGGAGGAGCCGGAGTTCACAGACGTGATTCAGAACGTGACGGTGCCGGCTGGCCGCAGCGTCCGGCTGGCGTGCTCCGTCAAGAACCTCGGCTCTTATAAAGTAAGTCCGTTTTTCTTTTGCCTTAATTAAATAACATTGATATAAAGATACACATCTCGAACTCAAAAGCTTAGAAATTATTTGTCCCAAAAACTAAAAACTTTATTTATCGACTTGGGATATTTTTAGTATCATCTCGTCACCCAAAAAAAGCTTTTACTACACTGTAAGAAAATCTTTAATTTCCGGCTTGAAGAAAGGTACCAGATCTTCAACACAGAAACATTGAATCTAACCCACAGTTTAAGTTTCCGCAAACCTCTCCCTTCTATAGTTAGCAGCCAATATAGATCAAACGTCTTCCAACAGCAGTTAACGAAAAAGCTATAGTCAATTTCGTAAAATATCTGAAAGCATTTTATTTTTGCTCAAAACGAACGAAATCACGTCTGTGGGGGCACGCCACTTAGACCGCAGACACACTCCGCGATGGGGTAGACGACAATATGCGTGGAGCGGCGAAAGGAAACATAAAATAAGAAGCATTTTATCATTTGATTTAGAACGCGCCGTCGTAATAAAGTGTCCATATAAATGGAGAAAGATATGATTTACAACCCCTACGTCGAGTTTGCACCTCTCTCGCATAGCTGAGACGGTTTAAAAACTAGAATAATAGCACACCAAAGTGAACCTTAGCGGCGTGCTTGTAGAATACATTTTTGGTTTTAAGAGTAATGATTGTGCGTGATGATTGGATTAGCTTTCGGTAGAAAGGTTTATTATTGGAATCTGTATAGTAAAAGAATCGGTAGAGGCATAGTCAATGACTACCACTGACCCTGTAAATCAGTCTTTAGATAACAAGATACATTTTATATCACAAAATAAACAACTGAAAATACAAAAAGTAGGAATAGTGGTCTTATTTATAGAGTTCAAATAAGGATTGAATATTTTATTCTGCAAAATGCGCAATGATATGAATTTCACGTAGGAATCGTAATTCTTAAGACAACTGGTGAGGTGAGAAGTTCAAAATGTAAGCACGGTGGGTCGCAGTGAATTTTAAAAACGTGCATCTACGAGTATGCCCGTTTTACATGGCAACTTTATGAGATGACTCGGTTGTAACAAGCTTTGCTTTATATGACCTTAAACATCTTTTCTTAAACATTTGTTTTTTATTTGTATTTTATTAAATTAAGTACCTACATAATGATATTTGTGAGAATTAAGTCTTCATTCTAATTCGTAGTAGCCGTAGCAACTATAAGACTACTATCGTAGTTAGCAGTTGGATTTAAGGTCGATTCGGTTACAAATAGTTTACTTCGTTATTTTTTTGTAGTTATGATCAGTTTAAGTATTTGTTTACATAGGTAACCTAGGTACAGTACTTTCAAATTTTCATTCAATCTCGTAGCAGCCATAGCTACTACGTACTACGTCACTCGTAGCTACGGTTACTACGAGATTACGATCGTAGTAAGCAACTAGCTTTGAATTCTAATCCTTTACATTTGCTTTGTTTGTTAAGTCACTATTGAAGGCATGCCATTTTTACTATTTTACAGAATATTTTAAATATAAACATATGGAACTAGTATCTAGTCACATCACATTTTAACGGTGCAGAAAAATATGCTCATCCACTATTTTATTACTTATTTTAACAACAAACATTACAATTTTGATTCAACAATAAGCTTTTGTAACACGTAACATCAAAAACCACGTATACACGTGAGTTTTTCCAACCATCTTCCCAGACGCGATCGCAATAAAAGGCAAAATAGTGTTCTGAAATAAAGGCTTAACTGAGGGAGCCATCACGGTTGCCCTGTATTGACAACAAGAAGCGGATTTTCCCGAAAGCCTCGCCTCTGCCATTAGTTTCCCGCATCGCTTAAAAAGATTTGCCTTTTCAACGGTTTTTCAGAATTATTGAGTTTCACGGAATATTGCGATGAACAACGAGCTCTATTATGGCATTATAGTTTTTTTTTCGAATACGGCTCTATTTCTATTAAGGTATGAAAACTAATTTTCCAACTAGGCAGAGCTTCGATTACGCTAAATAAAAATAAATATTTCTACTGAAAACCCTTTTCCCGATACTGAAAGCAAATGAAATTTGATATAATGGAATGACGGGCAGACAGATATTGCAATAGACATGACTGTAATGCGAATGGATTGTGTATTTTATGCAAATGTTAGGAAGTATGCGCACGTAGCCGGTTCATCGGCATGAAATGTCAGATAGTCGGCAGTACCACGTATGTGGGTTTGCAATAACATGCCGCAACGAGTCGCAGCTATGTTACACTCGCGTGTGTGCGCCGGCTGTTCGAATACTGGCATATTTCTCGTGCCGTAATACGGACTGGAGTCAAGAGCGTGCTAACCGACCGTGCCACTCGGTGGCCGCGGCTGGAATGATCGCAATTATGGAATTAGTCAATCCCGATTCGCGTTTTAATTAAGGCGTTTGCACGTGCTAATGAAGAGAAGGCTTACCTCAGCCAATTTATGAAAAGAGGGTTCATTTTCGCAATAATGTTTACACGCTAGAGAATATTTGAGATAACATTGTGAAAGGCAGATTGTTATTTCAATCGATCTTAATATGTAAATGGAGAGCTGCATATTAAGAAATGAAGGGAGGGGATATTATTAATCTCATGGTTGATTGGACAGGCATTAACATAAATTGTAATGAATTCGCCAAGATACCCTCATTACAGGAGGTAGTGGTATAATTAATATGTGTAACAGTGTCAGAAAATACTTTTTACCTACTTAAATGTCTCATACTCTTTGAAACGTTGTTTTCTATGTCAAAACATAATGATCAGGGTTACAAAAATACAAAAAGTAAACGTATCAGAAAATAAGTTATTGGCCGAAGATCCCGCGAAAGTTGGAGTGCCCTCGGCGTAAATCCGAATCTGAAGAGATCTCTAAGTGGGCTTTTAGCAGCAGTAAGCTAAACCGTCTCGTGCGAGATGTTAGCTCATTGCTATCTACTGCATTAGTGCGTCAACTCTACGTTTTGTCACATTCGACTGCGCGGGAAACTATAAAGTAAAGTGCTTGGAAATCGCCTGCAGATGTTTTGTTAATGGCACATTTTGGGAAGAGCGTTTGATGTTGCATGTATGTAAGGTATTATTATACACCGATTGAAAATGGTTCTAATGCAATATGCATCTAAATATGCAAAAAATAAATATTACTTCTTGAGTTGAATAATAATAATAGTCTACGTATCATACATTGTTAGCAGTCTAAAAGATTTTAACAAAACTTAAACAATCATACAGTTCTAATATCAATCACTGCCTTGCAATTGGAGTACTCCACTAGCTCCAATTGCAAGTGCATTCCAATAGCACTTACTTACAAAAAAAAAAATACCTACGACAGGGTCTAAAGTGTAAATAAATACTTTTGACAGTCGTTGCAATTTTATTGGAGTTTACATGGTATTATTATATTTCATGGTCGACCTTTTATATCCTTCTTGCTGGATGTGAGATTTCCTAATACGAGTAAAATGAGCTTGAACATAGGTACTACTAATAAAAATATTGAAGATTATGTCAAATCACAAAAAGTTATTTAAAATCAATCATCAAGATTTTAAAATAGTATAACACCACGGTAGTGTTACTATACGAGTATATTGTACCGCAAAACGTGAAAAGCTGTCATCAAACATTTTCTGTGTGAAATACCAGCGTGAGTGCTCGCGGTTTTAGATAAATAAATCACTCCACAAAGCGAACTGAAAGCGTTGGTAAACAAAAGATGCTTTTGATTCAAATCTGCCTAACCAGCACCGTAAACGTCTGATTTTATAATAAATTACACAACTAGCAACCTAACTTTGCGTTTGTAGCATCAGTTCAATATTGTGGAGCAACCAACTTGATAACACAATACTTACAAAGAAGCTTCAAATAACTTGAAACAAACAAGCACTTAACGTAAAATGAGGCTCCTTAAACGTTCCATAATTAAATCTGTCGTAATATTATTAAACACGTCTACGAATCATCTCTTCGGGCGATAGGGTCCGTCGTTAAAGAGGTTCGGTGCGGTGCGCGGCAGAATGGGCAAAGTTTGCAACGAGTCCATTATAAATCAAACGACGCCTTCGAGGCATGTCCTGAGGGACGCCAGCTCCTCCCGCCGCGCCTCAGAACTTCAACTTTGCCTCCTTAATGCCTCAACAATTAAGATAAAAAGAAAGAAGGGCCAAAATTAAAGGTGGTTAAATGATAACGAGTTAATAGACCGCTCTAACTTTCCCTGGGACGCGCTGATTTTGAACGGCAGACCATTGGCCTAATTGCGCACCACTTTACCTTCTGCGATAACGTGATTCATAGAGAAATGTTTGAACCAGTCCTGTCCGAAGGCAGTGTAAACAGAAATATATTTTGGGAACTTCATACAAACGTCTAGAATCACATGGTTTTTCTGGAAACAATAACAAAAGAGTTCTGAAAACGCGAGCAGCCTCAACTCCATCTCTGCACACGCTTGGTTATGTTTAGGCTATTACGGGTCCGGTATTTATTTAAAACTTCCATCCACTTCATAAACACTTTTTTTACTGCAAAAAACCACTGCGTTTCATTACAATTTGCGACAAATTAAACATCGGGAAACTTGTCCAATTTGTATCTAATTTTGCATAATTAACCAAGACGCAGTACAGCCGGCAGGAACGAGCCGAGTGACGTTGTCCCTAACTCGTTTAGGATCCGCAGACGAATGAAATTAGTTAGCCGCTGCCGCCATTTCTAATATCATATTTGCATTTACTAGCTTCATCAACTCTGATGAACGTTTATTTTGTTTTCTCTTGGTCTAACGCAGTGGTTTTTACGTAGTTATGAATATATTACCATTAATAAATACTAGACGCGGTTTTTAAATAAAAGGCAGATTTACGCGGTTTTTATATAAAGAAAATGAGAGAAATCAAGTCAGTGCTAAATAACTAGGTAGAGTTATAATATGCTGAAAAAGTATAAATCATGAATTATTATTATTAGGTCCCTACTTGGATCACAAAAATACTTAGTTCCAAAGTCATATTCATAGATGATCCAACTTGTAACGTCAGCTGGGAGAAATCGAAGCTCGTTTAAAGGGCCAATTCAGTTCTTAACGCTTTCTCCAACCCCGACCAAGTAATTTTATAATCCTAATTTTACCAAACTTGGGACATTCCACAATATTTCGTACGAATCCGAACATGCAGAATCCCTTAAGTTCACGTTTATCTCTTAACCTTCCAAAATTTGATTTCCTCTTAATTTTATCTTTACTGTCAAAACAATAAAAGCAAAGTTTGAAAATATCATTTATGGTTTATGGATTTGAGATAACCATTTATAGCGAATTTCAGATTTAGGTAAGCTATGTGAATCACGGCTTAAAGAGAGGTTCATAAAAATGAGCAATCTTGGCAGCAGCGCTTGTATGCTCTATCGGTCGATAGTAATCCTCTCAAATACTTTCCTGCCAAACAATATTGGTTTTGTTTTCCAATCTTAGTCAAATTTAATGAACGAAGCTATTATTCTATCGAAACGGGCTTCTAGGGGTCTGATCACTCATGGAGTCGTCGTAAATCCTTGCGCGGGTCGTTTTACAAAATGCCACCATCTGTTCTTGTTAACAGCATAGTGTAGAGCTGCGTTTAATTTAGAGTCTAGTTCGGGTAGCATTATGGGTTTGAGCGGCGAGACCGTAGTATTTTTTTAAATATTTAAATAGGCAATTTGTCGAAGGAGATTTCCATCAATTAATAATTGTCAGTGTATTAGGCTTCCTTGGCGGGTCGGCGATAACGCGACGTAGCAAGCTGCGGCTGTAATTGAATGAGCGGCGCGGAGGGACACCCGCACGGGGATTAGATTAGACGCCGGCCACAATTAGGCAGATCGGATTTACATCCGCCGTCTCCGCGCCTCTCCGCCTCGGCGCCCGCGCCGCTTGTTCATTATGTAGTTTGACTTGATTGCTACCTTCATGTGTATAATTAAATGGTCATCGACTTTCAACTGTTTGTTCTAATTTGAATTATTCTCCGCACGTAATGATAAAAAATTCGGTGCGCTTTCGGAAACCTCCATTTACCTCTGTTTTAAAAATTAGAAAATCGTGCTCCTGCAGTGGATACTAATTAATGAGCTGATGATAATAATGACAATGACACCGAAAGTTGATATATTTTACACTTTTTACATTCTACTTTTTAGATGTATTCTAGCGTAGGTGAGCTTAGCTGTAATCAATCACCATTATTTATTGGTGATTGAATACAGAATAAACATTGTTAAAACATTTAAAATATGTTTAGTAAGTAAAATACATTTGACAAGAACGAAGTTTACGATTTGTTAACACACACCCATTAACATGCGATTATTTTAACATAAATTAGATGAAATATTAAGTCTTGTTTAATATCTTTGAGCCCCAGGTTACGGCGACGAGTCAGGTCGCCGTCATTAGAGGGGTTACCGTCCCATTGCATAATAAAATGGGCGAAGTTTCCTCAAGTCCATTATAAATTAGACAGCGGCTGAGAGCCGCATCACTTAAGATAGGTAAGATGTGACCCGGCACGAGTTTCAGCCAAACTTCCCCTATATTACCGCCGCAATCTTGATAAAAGAACTACCGCTTACCATGATTCAAACTTAAAGCTGGATTAAGAGATAAAAGATGCACGTCGAACTTTTCGGCTTCGGCATCCCACATTTCTTAATTTCTAGCCAAAGATAACATTTTACTTCAAAATTTCTTCTCGTGCGTCAAACTGCCATTTTATCGGAGCAAAATCGCAACTAGCTGCAGAAACTTTCCTTTGTTAAAATTGTTTACTTTGAACCGCGAACTTAATTTCTTGATGAGTTGTAGAAGATGGCTAAGTTTCAAACAATATAACTCTCGATTGTCTTAAGACTTGAGCTAATCTTTGAATTTGATTCGTTCTGTTTTATAGTTTGTGGCAGCTAATTAGAATTCTAAGGGAAAGTTTGCGTTTTTGAATTGGCGTGTAAAAAGCTTAAAGTGGCGAGATGGCTGGAAGTGTAACAATCTCTGCGAAATGTATTTTGAGCGCTTAATGCCGTGGAAATTGGTGCGAAGCGGGACGCGATGGCAGCTCGCTGCAATTACACAGATGCCGCGCCACCGACCCTCCACTAACAACTAATGGCGACTCGTAAAAGTTCAAGTTCGCTTGCCGTTGTCCCGTTTTGCCTCCATAATGTAATATTATACGCATTTAATCTAAATAAAGGTCTTAGAATAACGACTCAACACGGCCCATTCGGTGTTTACAACCGAAATTGAAGTGCCCATCTACCTGCAATTAAGAAGACGTATTTCCAACCCAGCAAAACGAAAAATGTATTTTTATTTAGCAAGAAAAAATATTTAAGAAGAATCGTTGCTTTCTTTAATTTCCGTTACGTCACTGGTCCAATTGGAAAAACGATTGGAAATCATTGAGGCACGACATTCTCCACACCCCGCGTCTGCCTCGCAGTAGCGGGGGTGTTTCATTCAAAAGAAAGTGCGTGTATATTGTAATTTCATATCATAAACTTTAACACACTTTCTCTACTAGTAAAAGAACACTACTTACTTATATTGAAAAAAAGTTTATTAGACGTAACTCAATTATGGAATCTTGCTATATTTTGTGCGATGTCTTTCGAAACATTCTTCATCTTACTTGAACTTTACAAAAGTCATAAATCTGTGAAACTCCATACAAAACGCACCGGTTGTAGTCATTAGTTACCGTTTAAGTTAGGTGGTGCAACTGAGCCTAAGTAACTATACTTGTTCCAGGTGGCATGGATGCACTTCGAGCAGTCGGCCATCTTAACAGTACACAACCACGTGATCACGCGCAACCCTCGGGTCAGCGTGACCCACGACAAGCACCGAACCTGGTTCTTGCACATCTCGGATGTGCGCGAGGAGGACCGCGGGAGGTACATGTGTCAAATCAACACTGTCACCGCTAAGACACAGTTTGGGTACCTACATGTTGTCGGTAAGTGTAATACATACTAACTCCCTTATTTATAGCTCTACCTATAGATACCAACAACACACCGTTTGTTACTAGTTTGAGTAACAGTGTTACTAGTTTAGGTGCAGTGACTCGTTGGGAAAAATACTTTAAAAAATCCGTTGGGAACAAACGAACAATACCGGTTATGGTAGAGACAGTCTGTATTAGCTAAAAAAAATGCAATGTTTTACACTTTCTGTCATATGTAAATTCTAAAGAAGAGAGGTAATAAAGTAATGTCCTATTGAGTCGGTTTTACACCTACATTTTATTTTTACAAATAAGAGTGATAGAGCTTATGAGACTAACATTTGCTACTATTAAGTCAATTAATTAACTAGCTCAGTGTTGAGTGGGAACGAAGCCAAATACAACTTGCCTAATAAAGGGGCAGTTCTGTTAATATCTAAATATATAAAAGGAGAAACTGACTGACTGACTGACAGATCAACGCACAGCCTAAACGGCTAAACGTAGGCACTTAAAATTTGGAAGGGACGTAGCTTAGATACCGTAGAGGTGCACTAAGAAAGGAATTCCCGAAATTCCCACGGGAACGGGAATTAGCGGGAAAAACAGGATTCACGCGTACGAAGTCGCGGGCGGCCGCTAGTACTATATACAGAGCTCTGATTTCAATCCATGCTATATTTGCCGAGGCGATCATGCGTTTACGAATAACGAAACCGGCATTGATATTGAACAAAATTATTTTAACTGAATTATTCAAGTTGATAGAATAATTTTATAAACATTTTGGTATGCAGGTAAATTATTCGAATTGAAAGCGTGATTGCGTTAAAAATAAAAATATATGTTCAAAAATGGTTTAGTAATCACGAATTTATTAATCAAATAACGGACTGAAATCAACAGCGTACTATTAATAAATTACTTTAAAGTTAGTTTAATGTTAGATACGCAAAAACACTATCAAATCTTGAAAACAATACTTAGTAGTTTCGTCCAGCTCTATCTTGAGCTCTGATAAATGCAACTACGCTAGACAGACACTCAGCTGTGCAAGCGGCGTTGTTAGTGCCANTAGTGTCGTTTAACGTCCAATTAAGTGGCTTTAACTTTTGTTTGTAGTGCCGCCGACGATCGACGACTCGCTGAGTTCCAGCGACGTTATCGTCCGAGAGGGCGCCAACGTCACCCTGACGTGCCGCGCTAATGGCTCCCCTAAGCCCACCATCAAGTGGAAACGCGACGACAACTCAAAAATATCCATCAGCAAAGGGCACACCGGTTAGAAGTCGATTTTGTTAATGGCCGCAAAAAATATTTTCCTTTTTCACACCCCACCAATCGCTATCTAACGTTAATATGACTTTTTCAGTTTCCGAGTGGGAAGGCGAGGTTTTGGAGATGGCCCGTATATCACGGCTGGACATGGGCGCTTACCTCTGCATTGCTAGTAATGGCGTTCCTCCCACTGTCTCCAAGCGGGTTAAAGTTAGCGTTGATTGTGAGTTCAATTTCATATTTTTATGACTCAATTTCAATGTTAAGATAAATTGCTGGCAATCCTTTGTCTTTAAATTTCAAGAGCATTTTTCATAAAAATCATAATTTTCAGTCCCTCCAATGCTGTGGATTCCTCATCAATTGGTTGGAGCGCCGCTAGCCTACAACGTTACCCTTGAATGTTTCACCGAGGCTCATCCGACATCCCTCAACTATTGGACTAGAGACGACGGCCACATGATACATGAAAGCTCCAAATATCATATGGAAAACACTGTGGGTCAGCCTGCATATAAAACCCATATGAGACTGCTCATCAGGCACATCACGAGTGAAGACTACGGCACTTACAAATGCGTGGCGAAAAATCCACGAGGGGAGTCCGATGGAACGATCCGATTGTACAGTAAGTTATATTCTTTACTTTTTTTGTTTACACTTAATATTGGTCTCAAACAAAATCATAAATGACTACTTAATAAATACTTAAGTATATGTCTTACCAAATGTCATAATATATTTGTGAACAAACCCTATCTACCTAACAAATATGTATAACTAAAAGCAGGAGTCCGAGAAAATAATGTAATTAGTGAAGTAAGTAGAAGATTTCACTCCTTTGTGCTCCAAGAGAACGCGCCGCAATGACAATGAATTATTTCGAAAAGAGACAATTCTTTTAATGCTTCCTCTAACCCTTTGACTTACTGCTTATTCCTGTGTAATATTCCTGTACAAGCTTCTATAAGAATTAAGAAGCAAAATTTAAAATAATATTTAAATGATTTTTGGTTTGTGTCATGAATAGCTGCTATTTATTTAAAATAATGAGCAAGTACCTACTATTTAACCACTAAAAAAATATATGCAGATTATGAATACTTACAAAAATCTACACCTCCACATGTAGAGATAGAGGACACTTGAGTTCAGTAATCATTTATTAATTGCTTTGATGACGCAAGCAAAGGGACTGGAGATCCGTAGCTTTGTAATTGATCGAATATGTACATGCCGAATCAAACACAATATCCTGTCCACAGCCTCGTCGCCTCCGACGACCACCCCGGACCCCCGTGCCGTGACCGTGCCGCCTCCGTCCCGGCCGCCGCGGCGCGACACTCCTCTCTCTGACAAAGGTATTGTACACTATACATTGTTGACTTAACTTCGAACTCCTCCTATGTTCTTCTGATTAATTTCGTTGCGGGTCCAATGACAGTTTAACTTTCCCCCGGGACAAATCACTGAATGGTTGGGTTTTTATTGGCGGTCAAGCTGTAGATGCTGGCTACATAGGAGTTGCAGCGGTGGGAATAGTCCCGTTTATACATTGTTTATTTATCACTGTCAGTCGCCAATCATATTATCTTCAGGAGAATCAAAATAAAGTCAAAAAGTATGCATTTCGATGATAAAGTGTAAATTCGATAATACGGTAAATTGACTAAGGCATTTCGGGGGGATATGAACCTCAAACCCCTCTTCTACCTTTGCTTTACCCCCTATCTGTACTTTTTATGGGATAGTATACGACTAGTGGCAAGAACTAAGATCACCTAGCTAGGGGATTACGCAAAGAATCCTAAACTATATTATTTATATTTTACGAGAGAAGAAATGAAAGAGCATAATGAAAAATCAACATTCTAAATACCTATGTCATTATATCATCATTTACAGAACTTAAAGAAAAATAAAATAAGTTTTTCATACGAAAACCGTGTTGACATTAAACTGAACATAATATAGTAGATAATCATAAATTGAAACGACTGCCCGATCAATAACACATCAACATGTTTCACAAACATTTACCAAAGAAAGCAAAGTCTGACGAATAAAACTGTGATGTTATTACAACTCTTAAATCACACGCAAACAAACTAAATTACCGCCCTGATATTAAATGCCTACCAACGCGGCGGTCGGACGGTCCATTAATATCTGATACTGACATCGATAAAATGCACGATACAACGTTTTTACGTCGGCGATTTCGTTTATTAAGAGATAATATTACCTTTACGAGTTGTATCCCCGAGAGCGTTCAGTTTGTTTTCACTGTTTGTTGCTGTTTCAGTTATTATTAGTGGCCGTTATATTTGTTTATAGATCGTAAACAGTTACGGCGATCTGCTTGTCGCCATGTACCTTGTTAACTCGCTCCGGCGTTATGGCGCTATAAAACATTAACAAATCATACACAAACGTTTTATGGAGTGGCATAATACGCGATGCATTCACATTCGGAGCAATTAAATAAGTTTTTATTAACTTTATGGACACTCTTTAAATGCTTCTGATGATAAACATTTGTCTCGTAGATTTTGGTTAAATTAATGGCCATCATAAAAGAAATTAAACGTTTTGTTTGATGTGATACGAAAATAGTTAGGTAAAATGATATTTTGGCTCCTTACAAAATACATATGATCATGCGGAACTACTGTTACTGTCCAGAACAGAAGAGAAAAACTTGATGAATTTAAAACGCGAAAGCAATTTATTACATTGAATAGGTTTCAGGAAATATTCTCTTTTCTAAAGAAAACGTGGCTCATCAAGAAACTCTATATTTACCCAAAATTCATGTTTTACCTCCTATTTACCAGGGCGCAATCTTGCAAACCCCAAGTCCCATTTCTTGCCTGCCGGACTTTACAGAGTCACCTAATGACATAGAAATTTTGAGCCCGCATTACAAGTATTGTTAGTTGTTGCCAATAAGCGGCGGCGATGTGGCCAGCGCAGCCGTCTCGCGTCATTACCCTGTTATTGGGAACTTGGGCGGCGCACGACATCTTGCTACAACCTATTACGGACAAGTGTGTCCACTCATCCCGCTTCCTTATTGCGCCCGTCACGGACGTCTGCATAACTTTGCCCTATAAAACTGTGTAAACTTATCTACTTTCTTAGGCACATTTGAATCAATGTTGAATAACCTAAACCTAAAGGACTTGGTCCTGGACTTTATTTTAAAACTTATGACGATTGTGGGGGCGAATCATTTTACTACTTAAAATTAAGTACTTACCTACATAGTCCTTTGTAACTTGATTTAAGAAAACAGTCTCATGTGAAACCACACAGCTGAAAAAATCTGGAATAAAGCATTAAAAACGGAAAACGTCATTGGAAAACATTTGCACAAGCTGCAATACGCTTCCAACATCAAGATAGACGATGAAAAAAGTCCCCGACGCATATCATTTGAGCATGCGATGCACCGATGAACTTGAAAAATCCATTAGATACCGACGGCAGGGCGTAAGTTTTGCCGTGGGTTGTTTTTGCGAGCGCGCGGGCTGGCTCGTGTTTTATTTTTTGCGCCCATTACGAATTTACGGGTGGCCCGGCCACTCGACAATATTGCGCAACTTTTCAATAACTGTTCGGTGACTGCCCGCAACAACCCTAGCCATATTGAATCCTTTACCCACCGAGTTTTATCATATCTTTAAGGATTTTCTTTTTCGTTTATGATGGTTTCTTTGCGTAGTTTTGTCGTGATTTTACTTTTACGATAAGTTTATTGAAAAAGTTTTCAACTACTCATACATAAGCATGCATGTGGGTCATTTTATGATCCATTTCAGATTTAGTATATGAGTTGGACTCTTAAAAGTATTTGAAATAATTTTGCAGTCTTATAAATCCATGACTTAGGAATACATTCAAGTATCTAGTTACTACGAGTACGAAATAAATATTATCTCATGAACATTACGATTTTTTAGCTTTTCTGTGGACCGTTATATTATTCAAAACTATTACTATTTTGTGACTAAATTATAATTTCTTATTCAGGAACAAAATACCAATCGAATCTGAACGAGATTGATAAGGAGAAACAAAAGACGGACGAGGGTGGCGGGAAAACGCATCTCAACTGGGTTGGTGCTCCACAAGTCACAGGTCAGTTAATATTAGGTATATACAAGTAGCAATAATAATTGAAAGGTTTTTCTCAAAAGATTCCTACTGTTTTTAAATATAATTTTTCTTTTTAAGATCTATTGCAAGATCCTTTACAATATTGCTCCTTTGATGTAAAATAAATAGTTATGTAACTTTAATCTTAGTAATCAGACACATCATTTGTTTTTCAAATAATAATTTATTAAGATAATTTATCCGTCTTTACAGATAATGCTGATTGGAGGAGAAGCCATTTCATTATTTTGCTTTTAACAATAATACCCTTATATGTTTAAGATATCAGATTTACATACAAATTCACACTGTCCATTTTATATGTCTAAGAAAGCTTAGAGCTTATACCATGGTAGCGCTAATGTAAACCAAAAGATAATTTAATTTCACAAAAAAGTTGCTTATTTCAATTGAAGAAAGTCTATCGGCAAATCATACATACACCTAAGTATAGTTAACTCCATAAATGCGATGTTTTTAGATCTTGTAGAGACAAGATAAGTAGAGACTTAACTTCAGCTGACATACCAACACGTAATGTTATTGCCATCGACTGTACTGTACTAATAAAGCCTCTTAGCCACTAGGACACGTGTCGCAATACAAATGGAGCAATTTATTGTACGGACATCTATGTCAAATTGTGTCGACATTCATTCCCCAGTAACGGGGCAGGGAGGCAATAACTTCCATCGGTGGATGTTTTTTTCATACTTGCTGACTGAGGGTCACACGAGGCTAACAAACGATCAGTGTGAAAATGTTTCTATCCGTTTTTGTCAGCTTAGCCATTTAGGTGTTCTATTTCTGATACAGACAGATTCGTTCCACCATTTTCTTTTTTTAAATATTTGCCAAAATGAATCAGGACTTTTGTAAGTCTTCTTTAATGGTTATTCCCATGACGCTCTTTTAATATTTTTATTTGTAGATAGGTAGGCTATTGACAACTTAAGGTAGACACAATTTATTATATGTTGTGAATGCAAAGATAAGTCGTTAGTTTCATGTAATGAATTTAATAGATCCGATGATTGTCTTGGAAAACAGGTAAATTATTATAAATTATAATATAGTAGACATCATCGTTATCATTCTTATACAATAGTTGATAGAGTTCAGTTTCAATCTTACTATATTAATATGTATAAACGTTGTTGTTAATTATAATATACACTATACAAAATTATTATATTGAACAACAGTTCCTCGAGTAAGTAAATTTTATGGTATAGCAGATTTTTAATCAAATCTTACTTAAGAGATATTGTTATTATTCGTTGAATGATATAATTTATTTAAATTGCCATTTAAGAAATCTGCTAAGCCATGAATTATATTATAGCAAAGTCACTGCACACGTATAAAATATTATAAAGTGCACTAAATATCATAACAGTTATTTTGTATATAGAGTAAGACTGAGTGAAGTATATACAATCGTGTCTTTAGGGAGCAGTATATAATGATTGGTTTAAATAATATTATTAGTATGTGCTTGTGTAAACCTCATATTCGCTGTGATACGTCATTCACTTTCCAAATCATGTAGTTTTTGGTTGAAGTGTGTTTTTGAGTTAATTTCCTGAAATCTATTGATATATTTCTTAAAATGACGTCAAAATTTTCCATTAAATATTTATTTAGAAAAGAAAATTATTTAAACGATTCCTACATTTTCCTATCCCAAGGTTATAATTTTGAAACCCAATTTATTCTGTCAATTATAGTTTTAAAATAATGTCGTATGTAAATGTTACCGTTAAAAATGTTGCCAAATTGCTAAATATAAGATAAATGCTACATAGATAGTTACATTGTAAATATAATCCTAAGCCAAAGCAATGGAGTGCGTTTAAAGAGTGTATTGTATTGACTGTTTAACCGCAAGGTTATGGCATGAATGAATGTAACCATACTACGTAAATACACGTAACTACTAAAAGTGACTAGGTTATAAACTAAATAAAGCTTGTTTTAAATAAAAATCTTTTATTATCTCCATGAGAGCAACGCATAATAACCAATTCGAAGTTTGATTGAACAAGTTGAGGAAACCTAATTGCGAATTTCCGCAGATGAAAATTTGTAGTCTGAGATCGATCTGGAGATTTGCTTGTTTGTCGATATAATTTATGTGGGGAAACTTTTCCGACGTCATATTTTGATGGACCGAAGCGCTTGCAAACAATCTTGTGGGAATCTTCGAAGATTAGGGCAGGCTTGGGGCGCCCAAAAGGCTCCGCTGCGTATGGCCGCCCGCCAACTCCGGTAAGCCAATCTAACTTCTTTTAAATGTGTTTTTGATGTAAAGAACACATTATGGTACGCATCGCTANCATCGCTTTCCGACTTTCAAATCAGGAATCCAAATTAGCTTTTGATTTATAAGGCTCTAAGTTTGATCTCGAGATGTTGGGTTGCAGTAGAGACACAATTCAAATTATGTAGGTACCAAATAAGTAGGTCGCCAGGTCTGATGTTTCGCAACGTTAGTTAGAACCAAAGTTTCATTTCAACATGTAATGTTGAGGCACTTCAGTTGTCGATACATTCGTCATAGACTTATAAATAAAGCAATCAACGATTCATAAGGAATTTAGCCCATTACTGACCGAGCACAGTAACTGCTAGACTTGCCAAAATCGCAAGCTCGTTTGTTGTTGTACGAACAAAAACCTGTTCTAACTCTACATAGTAGAGATCAAAATCGATTGCGATGATTATTGTGATTGGTCTTTTTACGCCGAAGCGCATTTGTAACAGTAGCCTCATTACTTAGCGGCGGGTAGGCGTGCACTTCCGTCGGAACCGGATATCGTGGCTCGAACAAATAAAATTAACGCTTATTGCCGTCAACGGAAAGCACCCTTAAATGCAAGCTACGAATTATTGTCGCCCAAATGGCTTAAAAATGGAAAACAATTATTGGAACCGTTTGATCAGAATATTGCTTGTGTATGATTTAATTTTTAGGGTTCCGTAGCCAAATGGCAAAAAACGGAACCCTTATAGATTCGTCATGTCTGTCCGTCCGTCCGTCCGTCTGTCCGTCCGTATGTCACAGCCATTTTTTTCCGAAACTATAAGAGCTATACTGTTGAAACTTGGTAAGTAGATGTATTCTGTGAACCGCATTAAGATTTTGATGCAAAAATAAAATAATAATAATAAATATTGGGGGCTCCCCATACTTAGAACTGGAACTCAAAAATTTTTTTTTCATCAAACACACACGTGTGGGGTATCTATGGATAGGTCTTCAAAAATGATATCGAGGTTTCTAAAATATTTTTTTCTAAACCGAATAGTTTGCGTGACAGACGCTTCCAAAGTGGAAAACAGTTGGTCCCCCCCTCCTCTAACTTCTAAAATAAGAAAATGAAAAATCTAAAAAAAACATATGATGTACATTACTATAAAAACTACCAACGAAAATTGTTTTGAACGAGATCTAGTAAGTAGTTTTTTTTTAATACCTCGTAAATCGTAAACCGCTGATTACCGCGTAATCTTCCTTACAAATAACTTAAATAAAAAAATTCATAAATCAATGGTACGGAACCCTTTGTGCGTGAGTCCGACACGCACTTGGCCGGTTTTAAACCTGTTATAAAAAGCACGTAAAATAAAAATAAAAAATATCACTTCCCGCGCTGTCAATCAGGCAGGTGAGTTGTAAGTCTCTAAAGCTTTCTTCTATGTGGTTTAAAAGCACCATAATTAAGGTACTACGAGTATTCTCAGACATTTCGTAGACAAAGTTTGACAGTTTTGTACGTAGGTAAAGCTGCAAACAGGCGTACAACACCAAGCTTTAAAATAACTTACACGTCCATGAAGTTATAGGTGCGTACATCTACATGGACAGTATAATAGGTTTCAGACTTCAATTTATAAATCACTAGCATGTATGTTGTAAATATTAAAATGCATACACGTGCAAAGCTGACATTAATAAAAACCTATCGATCACCACCATAAAGAAAATCAAAATTAGATTAAAAAGCGATCACTTTTATTTTACCTAAAACTTTTTAAGGAAGAATTTTGCCTTCTTTCGCTAGGAGAGCTCGAGAAACTATCTTTTAAACATAAGAAGTCTTTGATGTATCAGTTCTGGTAGAAAAAAATATTTAGATTTACGAGTTTCCAAATGTAACATCTGATAAATATCTTGGTGTTCTAATCACCTACAGTAATTTTAACCAAGTTCAATAAATCATAAACCTTGCTGAAAAGTTGATGCTATGTTTTGTCGGGACTAGTAGGTAAATTTTAAGCATACCTATTTTGATAGCGTCTTAAAATCAAATTTTGTAAAGGTCTGAAAACATAACGTCAACGAGTAGGTATGTAATGGTCCGTCCCAATAATGATTTTGGGTATAATTTTAGTGGAACCGACGCGAAACCGTCTTGCCTAGCAGCTTTAAAATTTAGGTGTCCACTGTGGCGACCGCAAACAGCCCTCGCAAGTGAAAACAGACCGATACCCGAGTGATCGTTACCTACCAAAGCCCATACAAAACAGTAAAGAAACGTAACGCATTTTGTAAGTTGTCAAATATTTTGAGACCGCTTTCAGTGCTACAAATCAGAGGGTAGGTAATTTTAGTTATTCTGTGAGTGGTATCACCTAATTAAATGACAATTTTAAATTACATACTGGAGGTTATTCCGAAACACCAATTTAAGCCAGTCTGAGGCTATTCTGAAATTAAGTACGCTTTAAATCGATTCAAAATCAATCCTAGATTCAAGCCAGTTGGTTGTTTAAATGTTATATAAATAAGAGCACGGAAGAGTTCCGATCACCCAAGAACAAAGTAGAACCGCTGCATTCGTCAGCATAATTCTTATCACGCGATCTTCATTATGAGGTGGGTTGTCCGCTTCCCCGCGGCTGCGTAACCACACAGCCGCCATAATATTCAGAAGGCAAATTAATCCGGGCACGGGCGGCCTGATCGGCGACGGTCAGCGCGTCCTCGCATACTAATGCTATTGTTTATCGAAGGGGCTAATCTGTGCGTGCCAGCCGCCTGTCCGCCCACCAAATTATAACGGATCACTTTCGCCTGTCTAATATAATCCGAAGGATGCCGGGATCTCAATATTTTTTTTTATAATTACAGTAGCTCTTATGTTGCGGTCACATGTCACGAGGCAATGCGATGCGATGGGAAAAGCGGTTTTAAATTTATCCTGTGATAATAGTAAAAGTAACCTTTCATAATAAAACTGTAACTTATCATGATTATTTTACTCCTCACATGTCTTTCTAGTCGTAATTCTGTAATCTTGAATAAGGCTAGAAAAACCTCTCCATTCCAAATTAGGCAAATATTGCAGTCAAATCCACTTGATTCAAGTCAAGTGATAACATTATGGATTAACTTGAGTGTCATAACATAAATCTTTATGAACGTACGATAATGATGTTTTGGCAATATCATGCAATCGTCGTTTTAAATAGCGTCGTAGAAGTTGCAGACGATATTAAAAGTTTAAAATAGAATAGCGAAACGGTTTTGGCGATCGTATAAATAACATGTGTAAAGTTGTAAAAGAGTCGTTCCGAACTGAGTGATAATAAAGGTAACCCTCTGCGGCACCTTTATTGTTATCGAATAAAAATAATCCAGGGATTTTTCGGGATGATCGTAAATTATAACGGGATCCGCAGGGGCGGCCGACGCCGCGCGGCGCCGCGCCGCGGCTAACGGCGCCTTGCGTCGAAAGTTAGCTTTTACCACAGAAGCAATATTTTATTTCACTAAAAATCTTGAGCCCGGCAACCAGTGCCTGTTCCATTAATATATTATTTGTGTCTTCGCTTAAGAGGATAACTGTGCACCGTTTTTCAGAGAGGGGCATTTATTATTCTTTTAACAATTCATAAAATATGCCTCTCCATGACACACTTAAAATGAACGGGATGGTTGAGTACTGTCTAACAATAACCAGCCCCTCAACGCATATTTTTGACGGTGTGAAGCGCTGAAAATCCACCGATACCAACAAAAGTGGCAACTGAAACTAATGAATTATTCATAGCGGCGGCGCGGTGCATGTTCTATCACTGTTTTATCTATTGCGGGGCTCGGGCCGCGCGCGCCCCGCGCCCGCCGCCGCGGCCGCGTCGCGCAAGGGTTAACTACCTTGCGACCAACAATTTTAGTGCCGTTTGAG